AGTAAGGCCTTTGACAAGGTCCCCTTCATGACATAACTCGCCAAGAGGCTACTAAAATGTGGGCTGGATATGCTTTTGTTTGGTGGATTGGGAATTAGTTGTCCAGCCGAACCCAAAGCATGCTTCTTTCTAACTGCATTGCTTTCTTCCTCCTGGAAAGAAGTGACCAATGGGAGGGCCACAAAAAGGGTCCTTTCCTGGGCCTTTCAGGACTATTGTCTTTATCAATGACTTAGATCAAAGCTTTCCAAACATTTCTGTCTGGTATCATTTTGTGACACAGTTTTATTTATTAATTTATTTGCATTATTTCTATCTTGCCCATATCACCCCAAAGGTGACTCACGGCGGTATACACCAGTGGTTCTCAACCTTCCTAATGCTGTGACCCCTTAATACAATCCCCCATGTTGTGGTGACCCCCCAACCATAATATTGTTTTCGTTGCTACTTCATAACAGTCATTTTGCTACTGTTCTAAATCATAATGTAAATATCTGATATGCAGGATGCATTTTCATTCACTGGACCAAACTGGGCACAAATACCCAATACACCCAAATGTGAATGCTAGTGGGGTTGGGCGAGGATTGATTTTGTAATTTGGGAGTTGTAGTTGCTAGGATTTATAGTTCACTTATAATCAAAGAGCATTCCAAACTCCACCAGCGATGGATTTGAACCAAACTTGGCTCCCACGACCAATGGAAAACATTGGAAGGGTTTGATGGGCATTGACCTTGAGTTTGGGAGTTGTAGTTCACCTATATTCAGAGAGCACTGTGGACTCATGCAATGGTGGATCTGGACCAAACTTGGTCCAGATCTATATGCCCAAATGTGAACACCGGTGGAGTCCGGGGAAAATAGATCTTGACATTTGGGAGTTGTAGTTGTTGGAATTTATAGTTCATTACAATCAAAGAACATTCTGAACTCCACCAACAATAGAATTGGCTCAAACTTCCCACATGAAATCCCCATGACCGTCAGAAAATACTTTGTTTTTTTATGGTCTTTGGCGACCCCTCTGACACCCCCTCGCGACCCCCTCACGGGTCCCGACCCCCAGGTTGAGAAACACTGGTATACACAGTCGACACAATTCGATGCCATAAAAATACATACATTAATAAAGCAAAAACATTAAAGTGCATTTAAACATAAAGACAGTGCATAATAACAATTTAAAAAGAACTATGTCCTCATTCAGTCCTCATCCGTTCCATTGTCTTGGTCGTTCCTGGGTCATTTACCAGCTCTAGTTTGTCAATTTATTCCGGGGTTCTGAATGCTTGCTCGAAGAGCCAAGTTTTAACTCGTTTTCAGAAAGTCAGGAGGGAGGACTAATATCCCTAGGCAGGGAATCCCACAGCCGAGGGGCCACCACAGAGAAGGTCCTGTCTCTCGTCCCCGCCATACGTGCTTGCGAAGCAGGCAGGATCGAGAGCAGGACCTCCTCAGACAATCTTAAGTTCCTGGAGGGTTGTAGAAAGAGATGCATTCAGATAGATAGGCTGGGCCGGAACTGTTTAGGGCTTTATAGGCTAAAGCCAGCACTTTGAATTGAGCCCGGTAGCAAACTGGCAGCCAGTGGAGCTGATTCAACAGAGGAGTTGTGTGCTCCCTGAGCGCCTCTCCTGTTAGGAACCTGTCTGCCGCACGCTGGACCATTTGAAGCTTCCGGGCCATCTTCAAAGGCAACCCCACATAGAGCGTGAAGGAGAGGCTAAACCACACATAGGCAAACTTGGGCCCTCCTTCCAGGTGTTATTGGACTTCAACTTCCACAATTCCTAACAGCCTCAAGCCCCTTCCTTTCCCTAGCCACTGAGGGCCTGAAGCTGTTAGGGATAATGGGAATTGGAGTCCAAAACGCATGGAGCGAGGGCCCATGCCTGGTCTAGAATGAGGGAAGCCATAGCTTGATCTTGGAAGCCAAGCAAAACTGCTTCTAGTTAGTCCTTCGTGGGGAGACTGCTACGGGGTGAATACGGGGTGCTGTAGGAAATTCATGGCGTTGCCTTATCAGTGGTTCTCAACCTGGGGTCCCCAGATGTTTTTGGCCTACAACTCCCAGAAATCCTAACAGCTCGTAAACTAGCTGGGATTTCTGGGAGTTGTAGGCCACAAACATCTGGGGACCCCAGTTTGAGAACCACTGCCTTAAGTCAAAGTTGCTCAACCTGAGGGTCGGGACCCCTGGGAGGATTGCAAGGCGCTGTCAGAAGGGTCGCCAAAGACTATCAGAAAATACAATGTTTTCTGTTGGTCATGGGCATTCTGTGTAGGAAATTTGGCTCAATTCTATCGTTGATAGGGTTCAGAATGCTCTTTGATTGTAGGTGAACTATAAATCCCAGCAACTACAACACCCAAATGTCAAGGGCTATTTTCCCCAAACTCCACCAGTGTTCACATTTGGGCATATTGAGTATTTGTTCCCAGTTTGGTCCAGATCCATTATTGTTCTAGTTCACAGTACTCTCTGGATGTAGGTGAACTACAACTCCAAAACTCAAGGTCAATGCCCACCAAACTTGGTCACGGGAGTTCTGTGTGCCAAGCTTGGTTCAATTCCATTGTTGGTGGAGTTCAGAATGCTCTTTGATTGTAAGTGAACTATAAATCCCAGCAACTACAACTCCCAAATGACAAAATCAATTCCCCCCAACCCCACCAGTATTCAAATTTAGGCATATGGGGTATTTGTGCCAAATTTGGTCCAGTGAATGAAAATACATCCTGCATATCAAATATTTAGATTACAATTCATAACAGGAGTAAAATTACAGTTACGAAGAGGCAACAAAAAAAATTATGGTTGGGGGGGCCCACTGCAACATGGTATTAAGGGGTCATGGCATTAGGAAGGTTGAGAAACACTGCCTTAAATTCACAGAAAACGAGCTTTCTAGTAGGCTATTATCCCTGATATTTCTTGAGATGCATGGAAACTCGGCTTCCAGGATTCTGAGCAGTGAGTGCAAAGGTTTTCAAAGAAAGTTGCAGGCAGGTGGTATTCATGCTTAAGCAGCTGAGGGGGGAAAAAGAAGAGGCCTAAGGCCAGGAATTGTGGGAGTTGAAGTCCAAAACACCTGGAGGGCCAAAGTTTCCCCATGTCTGCTGTAGAGTGTGCTATTTATGTTTTTCGGTAGCCCAAATGCCTTTGCAAGCTAGAATAACCAAGGTTCCACTTTTCAATCAACTCTATTTTCTGTCTACTGTCATGTTCCCAACTCATCCAAGAAGCGGGGGCCTGTATTTTGACGAGCTTCGTGTAAAAGTAGGTTCAGTATGCCAGTATGCCACCCATTCACCCTTTGCAGATAGGTTCGTGCAGGAAACACTGTGCTCCTCTTCCCTGGAAGCAAGATCCCCCGATGATGGTGATGGTGGTGATGATGATGGTGATGATTATGATATTTATATCTCACTTTCTTAAATGAGATGCAAAGTACATGGCCCTTGTTCCCCCTCAATGCTGATTCGAAGGCATCATGACAGGAATAGGAGATGTATATTCTCCTTTTTCCTTTTCCTTTCCTTTCCTTTCTTTTACATTCCTTTTCCTTTCTTTTCCTTTACCTTACTTTTCTTTTCCTTTCTTTTCCTTTCCTTTCCTACCTTTCCTTTCCTTCTTTATCTTCCCTTCCCTTTCCCTTCCCTTCTTTTTTCCCTTTCATTTCATTTCCTCCCCTTTTCCTTTCCTTTTCCTTTCCTTTCCTTTTCCTTTCCTTCCTTTTCTTTCCTTTCCTTTACCTTTTTTCCCATTCCTTTCCTATCTTTCCTTTCCTTCTTTTTCTTTCCTTTCTTTTCCTTTCCCTTTCCCTTCCCTTCCTTTCCTTTTCTTCCTTTGCTTTCCTATCCTTTTCTCCCTTCCCTTCCCATCCCATCCCAACCCATCCCATTCCCACTTCCTTTCCCATTCCATTCCCCCATTCCTTCTCTTCCTTTCCCCCTCTTTCCCTTCCATTCATTTCTTTTACTTTTTCTTTCCTTTCCCTTTCTTATCTTTTCCTTTCTTTCCTTTCTATCTTTCCTTTCTTTTCCTTTATTTTATATTTATTTATTTGCTTTACTTCTATACCGCCTTTCTCAGCCAAAAAAGGCGACTCAAGGCGGTTTACATAGTAAAGGTTAACACAACAATATCAAAAAGCAGTTAAAACACATTATACAGAACATATCAAATCAAGCAATCAATTAACATAGACGTGCGCCTCAGCAAACAAATCAAAATTGGAATCCGCAATCATAGTCCTTTATACCAATTCCTATGTTCAGTTGTACCATCTTACTGTGTTTCATTGCACAATTAGTCAAACGCTTGTTCATAAAGCCAGGTCTTGACCTTCCTCCAGAATGCCAGCAGTGAGGGGGCCTGTCTGATGTCCACAGGTAGGGCGTTCCACAGCCGGGGAGCCACCACCGAGAAGGCCCTGTCTCTCGTCCGGGCGGGACCGAGAGCAGGGCCTTTCCTTTCTTTTCCCTTCCCTTTCTTTCCCCCCTTCCTTTCCTTTTTTTTCCTTTTCCTTTCCTTTCCCTTTCTTTTTTCCTTTCCTTTCCTATCTTTTATTTTCTTTCTTTTCCTTTTCCTTTCCCTTCCCTTCCTTTTCTCCCTTCCCTTCCCTTCCCATCCCATCCCTTCCCCATTCGATTCCATTCCATCCCCCCATTCCTTCCCTTCCAATCCCCCCTCTTTCCCTTCCCTTCCCTTCCATTCATTTCCTTTCTTTTTCTTTCCATGGAGGTTCCTTCTTTGGAAGCTTTTAAAGAGAGACTGCGCGTGCATCTGTCAGGGTACTTTGCTTTCTTGCATGGTAGAAATGGGGTTGGACTAGATGCCCCATGTGATCTCTTCCAGCTCCTATGATTCTATGATTCCCTTCCTTTCCCTTTCCCCCATTCCCTCCCGACCGCCTTCCCCAGCAGCCCCCCCCCTCCCCCCCCGTTCACCCTTGTGATCCTAACGCTGTGCCTTGCCCATGTGCTTTCAGGGGGCAGATGGTCTCTCGGAGCCGGAGGGCCTGGCTCTCAAGCGTGTGGCGGTGGTGGAGGACTTCTTTGACATCATCTACTCGATGCACGTGGAGAGCTCCGCCGAGCCAGGGAAGGCGCCCAAGCATGCTGGGCAGAAGAAGACCTACCGAGCGGTGAGTGTCCCGTCCTTGTCACACAAACACACACACGCACACACCCTCCGAAATGGCCTTGTAGTGGCTGGTCCAGCGGAGTTGATGACGAAGGACCATCGCTTCAGTGCTGGTGGTCTGTGCTTCCTCCAGCATGCTGATATTTGTCCGCTTGTCTTCCCAAGAGATTTGCAGGGTTTTTCGGAGGCAACATTGATGGAATCATTCTAGTTGCATGTGACGTCTGTAGACTGTCCACATCTTGCAGGTGTATAGCAAGGTTGGGAGGACAATAGCTTTATAAACAAGCCCCTTGGTCTCCTTACGGATGTCCCCGTCCTCAAACACTCTGTGGCTGCCAAGGGAGCGGAAATGGTCAACATATTCTAATGTTACACCACTAAGCTGTATTTCTGGCATTGGAGAAGGATTGGCTGGTGACTCCTGGAAGAGCACTTTGGTTTTCTTGATGTTCAATGACAGGCCGAGCTTCTCGTATGCTTCTGCAAAGGTGTTTGGAGTGGCTTGTAGATCTTCTTCTGAATGGGCACAGACGACGTTGTCATCAGCATACTGGAGTTCCACTGCTGGAAGAGCACTTTGGTTTTCTCGATGTTCAATGACAGGCCGAAGGTGTTTAGAGTGGCTTGTAGGTCTTCTGAATGCGCACAGACGACGTTGTCATCACGTCATTCCCAACATCCAGAGTACCCTGATCATTAGACACAATCACAGGCTGAACTCCAACACCCTGTCGCTTTTGCCACCCAAGGCCTCCAGTTTCTTGCCACTCTCCTGCTCTGTTGACTCCTGGCGTCTGGAGGAGCTTTCCATGGCCAGTGGGGCATTCTTTGCCTTCAACAGCTTGCAGTTTGGTTTTCTGCAACGTTTGAGTTTCTGGCTGGGGAAAAAGTTGGGGGAAAGCATCCAGGCTGTGGGGAGGTCATGGTTGGAGATTTCATGACCAGCTGGAGCCTTTGCCTGAGTCCTGGCTGGGCCAGGGGGCTTCCTGAATGGCAGGCCTACCCTCCCCTTCCCCAGCTGGGCCCTGCTTCTTGCCCCCGGCATCATTGCGCTTGGCCACTCTACGTCTCCCTCTCCCGCGTCCATCCCTGCGGTCGGTCGGGCGCCATTGTGTGCTCCGATTCTCCTCGCCTGTTTGCAGGTGACCTCTCCATAATAGAAGAGGGCAAAGCCACCAGCAGAAGGACAATCCGGAGGCGGCCCCTTCCCCTTCCCTGTCCTGGACCTCCCCTCATGCCTTCAGTTTGAGGCTTGGTGGCTAATCTCTGCCTTGCAGGATGGATCCGTCTGCCTTTTCCGTGGGCCATCCCTTCCCCTTTGCACTCCGTCCCTTGGCTTGAGCTGCTTTCATCACATTAGCTGCCGGCTATCCCCTCCTGACCCGGCTGGGCTCGGCTCTTCCATGTCTGCCCTCCCCGTCGGCCCCATTGAGCCCAGGATGGGACAGGAGTCGTCTCCCCATTCGAGGGACAACACTCCGTTTCCTTGAAAGCCAAGAGATCGATGCACCAAGAGAAGGCATCCGCACAATGGAATAAATGCAGTTCAGCATCCCTTGGACTCCCACGTCTCGTTGCTATGGAATCCTGGGAGCTGTAGTTTTACAAGGTCTTCGGCCTTCCCTTCCAAAGGGTGACTCACCAAACTATAGCTCCCATTCTTCTATAGCAGTGGTTCTCAACCTGCCTAATGCCATGACCCTTTATGTTGTGGTGACCCCCCAATCATAAAATTATTTTAGTTCCTACTTCATAACTGTAATTTTGCTACTGTTATGAATTGTAAATATCCAATATGCAGGATGTATTTTCATTCACTGGACCAAATTTGGCACAAATACCTCATACGCCAGTGTTTCTCAACCTGGGGGTCGGGACCCCTGAGGGGGTCACGAGGGGGTGTCAGAGGGGTCGCCAAAGACCATGAGAAAGCACAGTATTTTCTGATGGTTATGGGGATTCCATGTGGGAAGTTTGAGCCAATTCTATCGTTGGTGGAGTTCAGAATGTTCTTTGATTGTAATGAACTATAACTCCCAGCAACGACAACTCCCAAATGTCAAGATCTATTTTCCCCAGACTTCACCAGTGTTCACATTTGGGCATATTGAATATTCGTGCCAAGCTTGGTCCAGATCCACCATTGCATGAGTCCACAGTGCTCTCTGGATATAGGTGAACTATAACTCCCAAAGTCAAGGTCAATGCCCATCAAACCCTTCCAATGTTTTCCATTGGTCATGGGAGCCAAGTTTGGTTCAAATCAATCACTGGTGGAGTTCAGAATGCTCTTTGATTATAAGTAAACTATAAATCCTAGCAACTACAACTCCCAAATTACAAAATCAATCCTCCCCCAACCCCACTAACAGTCACATTTGGGTATTTGTGCCCAGTTTGGTCCAGTGAATGAAAAGGCATCCTGCATATCAGATATTTACATTATGATTTATAACAGTAGTAAATAGACTATTATGAAGTAGCAACAAAAACAATATTATGGTTGGGGGTCACCACAACATGAGGGACTGTATTAAGGGGTCTTGGCATTAGGAAGGTTGAGAAACACTGCCATACGCTCAAATTTAAATACTGGGGGGTGGGGGTGGTTTGGATTGATTTTGTCATTTGGGAGTTGTAGTTGCTTGGATTTATAGTTCAATCAAAGAGCATTCTGAACCCTACCAACAATGGAATTAAACCAACTTGGCACACAGAACTTCCATGACCAACAGAAAATACTGGAAGGACTTGCTGGGCTTCGTCCTTGAGTTTTGGAGTTGTAGTTCTCCCACATCCAGAGAGCACTGTGGACTCAAACAATGATGGACCAAACTTGGCACGAATACTCCATATGCCCAAATGTGGACACTGGTGGAGTTAGGGGAAAATGGACCTTGACATTTGGGAGTTGTAGTTGCTGGGGTTTATAGTTCACCTACAATCACAGAGCATTCTGAACCCCACCAGTGATAGAATTGGACCAAACTTTCCACACAAAATCCCCATGACCAACAGAAAATATGGCGTTTTATGATGGTCTTTAGCGACCCCTCTGACACCCCCTCACGACCCCCACCCCCAGGGGTCCCGACCCCCAGGTTGATAAACACTGTTCTATAGCAATGAGCAATGGCAGTTAAACTGCTCAAAGGCACTGTTGCTATGTCTGTGCCAAAAGGGCCTTTGCACTTGTTCAAAGGCACCATTGCTGCATATGTTCCAAAGGGACTAAGGATTATGCATATGCTCAAAGGCAATGTTGTTGCATATATTCCAAAAGAGCAAAGGACTTTGTACATGCTCAAAGACACAATTGCTGCACATATTCGAAAGGGCAAGGGACTCTGCATATGCTCAAAGGCAACATTGCTGCATATGTTCCAAAGGGACTCTGCACATGCTCAAAGGCACAGTTGCTGCATATGTTCCAAAAGGGCAAAGGACTCTGCAGATATTCAAAGGTACCGTTGCTTCATATATTCCAAAGGGACTAGGGATTATGCATATGCTCAAAGGCAATGTTGTTGCATATGTTCCAAAAGCGCAAAGGACTCTGCACGTGCTCAAAAACACAATTGCTGCATATATTCAAAAGGGCAAGGGACTTTGCACATGCTCAAAGGCACCATCGCTACCTATGTTCCAAAAGGACTAAGGATTCTGCACATGCTCAAAGGCATCATTGCTGCATATATTCCAAAGGGACTAGGGAATATGCACATGCTCTAAGGCAACATTGCTGAGTATGTTCCAAAAGGGCAAAGGACTCTACACATGTTCAAAAGCATCGTTGCTTCATATATTCCAAAGGGCAAGAAACTACGCATATGTTCAAAGGCACCATTGCTACATATGTTCCAAAAGGGCTAAGGATTCTGCACATGCTCAAAGGCACTATTGCTGTGTATACTCCAAAAGAGCTAGGGACTCTGCACATGCTCAAAGGCACCATTGCTGCATATCTTCCAAAACAGGTAGGGACACTGTACATACTCAAAGGCACCATTACTGCATATATTCCAAAAGGGCAAGGGACTCTGCACGTGTTCAGAGGTATCATTGCTTCATATATTCCAAAGGGCAAAGGACTCTGCACATGCTCAAAGGCAGTATTGCTGCATATACTCCAAAAAGGCTAATGACGCTGCACGTACACAAATGCACCATTGCCACATATAGTCCAAAAGGGCTAAGGATTCTGCACATGCTCAAAGGCACCATTGCTGCATATCTTCCAAAAGAGCAAGGGACACTCTGCACATGCTCAAAGGCATCATTGCCATGTACATTCCAAAATACCCCTTAGCTCAGTGTTGGGGGTCACAAAAACTTGGACAACAGTAAAAGGTTTCTGATTACCACCCGTTTCCCCAACCCTTTGAGCAACAACATGCAGTGTTTACAGTGGACTCTGCAAAAATGTTCGACTGTACTCTACAGAAAAAGGAAAACTGTCTTGTTTAGCAAGCCTTGCAAATGCTGGCTTATTATCAGGAAATGTTTGATTTTCATACCTATTTTGTATAGCCAGAAACCTGAGGTCATGTAAAAAGGTATAGGGTGGGAAAGGGTCACAAATGAAGCCCTGCTGTAAGGCACCGTTGCTGCTCACATTGCAGGATTCAACCCTGGGACTGCAAATATGTTTAGAGCCTTAAACCGGCATGAGATCTGACCTGAGTCGAGCCCTGCCACCTGTTTGCCCCTGCATTTTTGACAGACAGTTTGGGGAAGTTGAATGCTCAGCACAAAGAGCTCCTTTTGTCTTTGGAGTCAAACCACTTCCTCATATTTTGAGTTCAGGCAGCAAGGGTTGCGATCCTTTCTGTTGGTGGAGGAAGCAGTGGGCGTAAAGCAGCACCATTCCTTGCATCTTCAGGAGAAGAAGGCTGCCAGCTTTTCATAGCCATCTCTTCCAAAGCCAGGCTTCTGGAGGGGCTTTTGGAGGCAACGTTGCCTGTGCAGGATGGTTTGGACAATTGCCTCCATTGTGGC